CCTCACACAGACGTGCGCTATTGCAATACTCTTCACCGTTCCTTTATTAACAGCTATAGTAACAGTAACAAAAACAACATTTATAGTAACAAGAAAAAAAAAAGTAAATTGTAATCAAAAACCTAACAAAACATACTGGTCTTTGACGAAATAAAATTAGTATTTTTTTTTTAGTTTGACATTTTTACATTAACCAACCAAAGATATCTTCTAATGTCAATAATAGTTAAAAAACAACATCAACAATTATTAATTATAGGGTACCTGTATTTGGCATGTTCAACCGGGCATTGTGCGCAGGCGCAGCTTCATCTGGAGCTTCTGATGATGTTATTTGACAGTCTTCAATGTATCCGCTTTCCATTCCAAGTGCCACGGGTGACGTACAGCCCTTGTCCCAGCCCACTGGTATATAGGGGTCTGGTAAACCAAAAATAAATTACTTAGCTTATCAGTTATCACATGCCAAATAGGAGAATTAGTGCTATTCGACTCGCTGAGTAGCACACTGTTAATTGTTTATATATATATATTATATCGGCAAAAAATGTATATAATTAAAAACTCTAATTACTAATTTGGTTTATCCAGCGCTTGTATATAAAATAACAGCCGCGCGTTTTTACCATCTAATGATCCCTTTTTGCTTTATTCGAATTTAATATTTATTATGTGATGTTTAATGTATGTTTTATCTCCCCAGTATAAGTTTGAACAGGACCATATGAAAACCAGGCTATAACAACCACCTGATTAGTTTTTTTAATCCTGTAAAATATAATTTGTAAATAAATAAATAAATAAATGAATCTAGGGAAAGTTTTCTAGGGATTGTTTTCTGCAACATCGAGAAATATAATAGTTCAACGGTGCATGATGGTTAATATGGATGGTGGTGTGCATGTGTGTGATGTTACAAACATACCAGAACTGTTATTTATAACTTCAATTCTTATTAAGTTAAGCGTTTCAAACAAATGGTCTTCCTCGAAGTCACTTCCAGCAAAGTACGTTTGGTTGTATACAGTACTCATAAAAATGAATGATTTCAAAGACGACTTTTCCTGAAATATGTTATTGTCTGACGTCACAACAAACTGGAGTTGAAACAGAAGCGGATCAGTGCCAAGATGAAAATTAGAAATCTGATAAAAAAAAAAGTACAAAACAAAAATCCAATATTTTTTTTCCAGTGTATTAATTATTGACGTTTGAAGTTAAATAGGAAGATACTATATGTCTACAAATTCAGTTAGAAACAAACAGAAATAGTTACCAATATTTTACCGCCATAATCAGTTGTAGCGAACATTGGAGATTCTGCAACAACAGCTTGGAATGATCTTGGTAGATAAAACATTATATAAACATTGGCGGCCCCCGCCGTGGACTCAAGCGTGTGTTCCAGGCTAAAGTTGATCGGAATTGAGGATCTGTCAGATGTAAAAATGTGATAAATAATTAGATACCCTTTGAATTAAATTGAATAATCATTATTTTTAGCGTTGTTGCCGCCGCCGTCCAAGGAGTTTTGGGTAGACTGAGAGAGGACTTTACGAGAGGAGCAAGCGACCAGGATGGCCAGCAGGCAATGCCGTAGCCAGGATTTTCAAACAGTGCAGGACAATATCAGGGTGGACCCACTTTACGCGTAAATTCAAATAATGTGGACCAATTTTCTCAAAAGTTGACCCATTTTTCGCAAAAATATAAAAATTCTGGACCCATTTTCTTAAAAACTTTTTAAAACAATTTTAGGCTAAATATGAGAAATCTGGACCCATTTTTAAAAAAATATACTATTTTTAAGCATAAAACACATTTTTCGAAAAAATATAGAAAAATGAATTTATGTCGTGGGAGGGCGTATACTTGGCAATTTTGTAGAGGCGCTATATTTGTTTTGGTTTGAGGGGTAATTTAATAGTTTGCATTAGACATGTGAAT